TCTCTTGTGTGTATGGCCGCAACGAAAGGATCGTCGCACGTTTTGTACAAAGAGAAAGGAAAAATCTGTGTATTCGGCCTTGCCCGCTTTTGTCAACACATTTATCAATAATAATAAAGCAAGTCAATATTATCAAAAACAACTTTAATATTTGATGTAGAATCGTCAAAAAGAGGCACAGGTAACCCAAAAACTTTGTGTACAGTTCTTCCATTTGGAAGTAATGTCGCAGCAATACCAGTAAAAGCCATGGTACTTACTATTTTTTCTTTACTTTTAAGTAAATAATATAAAGTTGTATAGATAAAAGTTTTACCAGAACCACCTGGGCCATCAATATAAAAACAAGTATTACTATTATTGTTAGTTGTTACTGATGCTAAAATAGTATCAACTATTTCTTTTTGTTTTACGTTTAATTGTTCATATTGTCGTACACCTATTGATGTATCTTCTTGAATTTGTTCTTCGTTATCAGTTTCTTGTTCCTCCGTTACTTGTTCCATTTCAGGAAAATTAGCAATATTTGATCCTTCTGTTTCAAGTAAATTAACAATATAATTATAAACTTTTTTTATCCCAATTGTAAGTCCATATCGTTTTACATAATCTTCTGACATATCTCTTTTAAATTCATCCCATAACTTTTCTGGATGAACTGGATGACAATAAATTAAAATTCGTACAAACAAATTACGAAGTCGCCTTGGCATCATCCAAACTTTTGCTTCATTCATTGCACGATACCATTCTTCATCATCTTCTATGAGTCCTAATGCTAAACATGCGGCGGTAAAAGTTGGATGTATTTCGTTATTAACAATTTTTAATTCTTGAAAATTCGTAGCTCCTTTAACATGTAATAAAAGTATACGTAAATGAAATAATTCTATTTGAGATGGACTAACAGAATACATACGACCGATACAATTAAAATATCTTTGACGTTTTTCCCAACGATTAATAATTTTGCCATTAATTTTAATTTTTTTAAATACATAATAAGATGGAATATCACTATATAGATATTGTTTTGCTTCTTCATCTCGAGTATTTAAATCAAAATAATCTAATAACATTGTTACTCGTTCCACAGCAAATCTTATTGCTTCATTATTAATATTATCATCAATTATTACGTTATGTTCATTTGGTAAATGAACTGGTAAACGAAATATAGCATGACTCTTTTCTTGCAAAGGTTTACTTAAAATACGCCAACATGCTTCTACAGGTCCAACATAACGAGCTTCGATAAAATCTTGAATTTCGTCATGAATTATCATTTTATCAATATTTTCACCAATAATTACAGACACAGCATCGTGACCTTTATAAATATATTTGTACAAATATTTTACAGATTTTATGCTTGAAACAACTTCAACATTAATATGACTATTAAATAATTGCAAAAGTATTGGATTATATGGAACAACATATCGATTATCAACAACATATCGTCCAGGTCTTTCATACAGTAATCCATTATTTTTTCGACAATATTGTGGATAACCATCTTCATCCATAATCGTTTCAGATTGAAATGGTTTTGGAAAATGTTTCGAACATTTATTATTTATTAAACACCAATTTCCGCAAGGCCCATGAATCATATGTTTCATTACAATATTATGTAAATTTTCATTTTCATTAGGATCAGGAATTTCTGCCGAAATAATTTTATCAACTATTTCAGGATTTGATATCTTGCAATTTTGTTTTAATGTAAGTAATAAATGTATGTGCGGTAATCCACGTTTTTGAAATTCTATTACGTAAACGTATGCAAGAATTTCACCAAAAAGTTTTTGTCTAATAATAACATCGATCAGATAATCCTTTTTTATGTTAAATACACGAGCACAAATATCTGGTCTATCTGCAGGTTGTTGATTCGGAAGTAAATTTTCTTTAATTTCTCGCCAATTTGGATTACAAGTCATAGTAATGAAGATATCTGGTTTTCCATATTTACGAACAATAGCCATTGCATCTTGATAATGTTGCAACATATTACGCGGTGAGCCCACAAACGTTGATGGAAGTATAACCATTTTTCCAATGTGAGCATTACTATTATTTGCAGAATTAGACAAATAATCAATTAATCCTTGATAAGTCTCAGCTCGCAATTGTTTTTGATTTTGTTTACAATAATTAATTCGGTCTTTTTCAATTTTAACATAATTATCTACAAGCCATTGTTGAAATAATCGTCTTCCCATGATGAAGATATTAAAATTATCATCACGTATAGCTATTCGATATTTAATGTAAGCAGCTCTACTTATTCGTTTATTACTATTTATACGTTGTAAATTACTATGCCAACCTTGATTACCATATGGATAATATAATGGATAAATCCATGGTTCTACGTTTGGATCCATTGTATTTACTTGTTGTAATGTTTTGGTATTTCTATTATAAATTGTCACATAAGTTTCTGGAATTTCACCATCCGCCGAAGTAGAAAAAACAGCTGCAACTTCATTTACTCTTTGTATATTGTATCGACCACGATCAATACCTTTTTTTGTTAAAAATCCTAATTTTAATTCACGTATATTATGGTTTTCAGTCATTTGCTGTTGAATTTGTATTTCTTCATGCATCATTCGATAAGATTGTGCAAAAATATTATTTATACTATCATTATATTATCTATTGAACGTAAAATTTCTTCATCAAGATTCGAATTTCGCTGTAATCGGCATTCTGTTGCTTCATTATTATCCACAATAAATAGTTGACCATAACTTGATATTTCATTAGATGCAGGATATAATGCAGTATTGATTTGATAATAAATTTGTCCTTGAATTTTAAAACAATAAGGTCCACGTCTTTGTGTACTAAAATCTGTTAAGTTTGCATTAAATGAAGCAAAAGAAAATGTATTATTATAAACTCGAATGCGATCGTAAAAATGTTTTGATTTAGGATGATTTCCAGAAAATAATTCATAAAGTTCATATGGAGGTTGTGGTAAAGGATCTAGTTTAACAGAACCATGACTACAGCAATCGTTAAATGAATTTCCTTTATTAGCTACTTTTTCAGATATAAAATGTTTTGCCCCACAATGTTCACAACATATATTCATTTCACCAATGTAATGTTCTTCTAAATTTTGTAATTGAGTAACATTAGATATATTTATATTTGTATATCTTT